AGCACTTGCATGAAATTACGGGTCAAAAAGAAGGCTGGAGTGCTATGATGAGAAGGACTTGAAGAGTCTGAGAGAGGAAGAAAAATGAAACAAGACAAAACAGTGAGAGCTGCCCAAGGTCGAGTGCGGGGGAGGGGACAAACAATGCAGGTCGACCAAGGGCTACATATCTGCGTAATACGCTCACTGAACTCATCTAATTCTCATTAAATTCAGGGCTCAAAGTCACAAGTTCAAAGCTCACTCTCCACCATCTACCTACCGAGCTCTGTGCATAAGCACTCCCTCAGCTTCCGGCGCTGCAGGTCACCCTTACCATCCTCGTACAATACAAAGCTATTAGCCCATTAGCACCATTCTACCCCTTGACATACTATATGTATTTTACAAATTGCTTAGAATATTTGTTCTAAATCTTGGTTAGAACGAGGCAGAGTAATTCTAAGTGTACATACAGGATAAAAAGAATCCCCTGAAGGAAAAGAGAATTAAGTACAGTGGAAGAGAACTTTCTGAGCAAAGCTCAAGCCAAAATAAACCACTGATCTGGATTAGTTTTTCCTGTGCAACCCACATCTAAGTAGTCCTACTAGTAACGTTATTTCTAGTCCCTGATACAGTTAGTTAATGCTTGCAATTTTATCCCAAAGGGGCTCTTTCTAGAATCAAAGCATTTAATCACATGACATCGAGTAAATTTTTCTCTAAGATATCCTATACCAAAGTTTCACTTGAGTCAAAAATACTTCCTACAAAACCATCTGATATGCTTCCTTCCATCCCTTTCTTGCTATTTAATTCATTTTTTAGATTAATGCTTGAGTTTAAAACATCTGTGATAACAGAACTCTCTACATTTTTATTCATCCTGCAACACCAGTTACCACAATTAAAGTATTTATCAAAACACTAAAAATAACTGTGTATCACTAAAATATTTTAAAAGTATTTTACTTTTTAAAAGTATTTTATTTTTTACAATATTTTAAGAATCTCAGTTGTATATTAAATATTTACGTATTTTAATATATCTAAAATGGTGGTATGTAAGGCTTTAAAATTATATATGCAGACAGGAAGGTAGGAGTGTGTGTGTGTGTAAATATACAGGAGAATCTGTATTAGTAAGTCTGTGGTGATCCCCACAACCCTGAACTCCCAAATGTTCAAAGAGCTTCACAGGTGATTCCATTATATATTTCCTGGCTGAGAACCACAGAAATTCTATATTTCAGATTGCTTTCAATATGCATGCCCCTATTTAAAGTACGTCCCCCCAAAAGAAACAATCTGGGCCATCAATTTTACATTCTAGTTTCTGAAAATTTTGCTCAAGGCTTTTAAAAAATCTCCCATTAAAAACTGTGCTAACCTATTTTTTTTTTCAGAAGTGTAAAATAAAAACTGTACTGCCTACAACTTTAAATTTAAAAGATGTTTTATATAAAACCACAGCATCATCAACTGAAGAAAAGATTTATAACTCATCGTCACACTGCAGTATTTATGATTACATTAATTTATGGTACAATAATTTAGTTATTTTGTCTATCTTAAAAATGAACATAAAGATACTGTTCTCTTCTGCACTATGTAAAATATTTAAAAAGAAAAATATTAGTTTTCTTTCTTTGAAAGTTAAAAGCCCTTAAAACACATTTTATGAATACAGCACCCAGTAAACTAATGATGAAGGCACGTAAGGTATAACAAAATTATTTTTGAGTATTAAAATTTTCTTTTTCATTAAAGTTTGTGCCCATCTAAAATACATATATGAAGTTCAGTAATGAATACCGTATTTCTTTGATTCTAAGACACTTTTTACATTTTGACATTTCAGAATTAGGAATGGGTCTTGCAATCACTGGCATGTCATATTGGAAGCATTTTTTATTTCTGAATGGTGCTTCTTATAATCAATGGCACCTTATATATGATGAACTATGGTGTTTATAAAAAAAAAATTTTTTTTCGGAATAAAAGAGGTAACTTTTTCTAATATGTAACACAACTGGTCCCACCCATGCCCAAAACAACCTTAAATGTGTAGCTCCATAAACTATAATCTTTTATCGGAGTGGAAAATGGCCAATAAATTTAATGAAGCAACTAAATTATCAGGATAAAAGAAACCACTCTGGTAAGAATAAAAAACAAATTTTAACAATTAAATATTGTATAACATCCAGAGTTTTAAGCAAATAATTTTATACTATTCCTCCATCTTCCAGTGCTTTCCTAGTATTTGTCCACCCTATGTATTGAAATAAAATTAGAATAAAGGAGCATTCCATCTCTAATATGCTGCAGATAAAGACTACTTTGGTGTAAAATAAGTTTCTATCTACAATATAAATGATCGAAATACAGTATGTGCATTTATACTAAGAACAGAAGCCAATGTTTAATGAAATGTTTAAAGACATAAAAACCATTTAAAATAAATAATGTATATTAATACTGCAGTGTACTGCTACTGCAGAAAGTCATATTCTCTCTAGCACATCATAAACCAAAACACTATGTGGTTTGGTGTCTAATGCAGTTACTGGGTGGAGCACTTTAAATCATTTCGTTAAACTGGTTAGGTTACTCCAAGTGACAGCACTGTAATCAAAAGCATCAAAAATGTAAAAGGTCCTATGTCACACTTATCAAAGACAATTAATTAACTCTTTTCTCTGTCATTAAAAAAATGGCAAATGTAAATATCAATTTTGGAACTTCAGTATGAGAGTGATAATATCCTTTCACTTAAATATGATACAACAAAACAAGGATAATGTGATAACAAGTACACAGAATTTTTTTTCAGCTATGTTAGGAGTGTCACACATTTCCAAGATGGGTTTCTAGATTCTGTACTGACAACTGATTAAGAAACGTACACCACCACAATATTCAAGTCAGGGCAATACTTGTATATATATTGTTTTCAAGTTTGCACATGAAGGCCCGACCGTGATTAAAAAGTTTGGGATCAAGTCACTGAAAAATCTTGCATTCTTTCATGTTACTTAATCCAAGTGAATGCCACTTAATTTTAATAATGGTAAGTGCAACCAAAATAGTCTGAGAGACATCCCAGTCAATATAATTTCCTTAAAGACAAAGCTAATCTTTCCTGAACCTTAAAACTTCATACGATTATCAGTTTCTCCTGCTACCCTAAGGAAAAGATCTGAAACAGCCCAAATTATTGAACTGAACTTAATTACCTTAAAAATAAACACCAAATCCCCACTCTCACACACTTTTCCAAATAATACTTCTATTCAGATCTGTAAGGAGAAAAGACTTTATTTTTGGCCAGAACCCTAATGCTCTTACAGCCCTACAGATCATCAGAGGTTAAGCAAAAATGTCCAATTGTAAACAGCTGGTGTGCTCATATTATTTGTGAGGGAGGGGCCTTGACAAACATCACTTAAGGATTCTAGATAAACAGAGCAGATGATGAATTGTTGGAAATGCACAGGAAACAAAATGACTATTCATAGGACCAAATGAAACCCTTCATTAGAAATGAAAAAACACCAATGGTTTTATATATATGTGTATATATGTAAAACCCAAAGGAAAAACAAACAGCAAATAAGTAAAAATTAAAACAAAAATAAATAAACAGGAAACCAAGTCCAAATTTTTCTGCTTCGTTTACCTTGGAGATTAAGCTGAACAGTGTTACTCAGAGCCTATGAAACACACAACGGACACTTTGCCCCTGCATACAAATTAATGTCGACACCGCTACACATTTTGTGCAATTAAGATATTCACTTCAGGCAAGGGACCAGCAAGTACTACAGTACTAGAACTATTATTTATGCAAAACAGAAAATACAGTGTGAAACAAAGCAATGCAAGCATTTACTTGAAATTTCGCTGCATGCTAAATCTGGATTCATGCTTAACTATATTGAAAAAGAATTGCCAAACCGCCAATGTACTTCTTTACAGTATTTCTAATTTTACCTTCCTAAAGACTAAGAGCTGTAACAATGTCAATTAGTCAAATTTCTCTAATTTTCTAACCACTTCTAAAGAATATTTTACTATCTAAACTATCAACTTTCTATTTTTCTCTGTATGTACATGAATATAGACATACAGAGAATCAAAAAAAAACCTACGTGACTTACACAATATACACAGATATTACACACAAACTAATGAGACTGCATGATTTTTATATTAAAGTACATACTTGTTGCACCACACAGTTCATTGTTGTTAATAAGAGTAATAGAAAATTATTGCAACTAAGCACATGCTGCTAATGATCCAGGGTTTTAAGAATTTGTAGGTTAAAAAAATACAATTCCTAGAACACTGTTATCAAACAAATAAGTTTTATTGGCATCTAAAAACAAAATTCACCCAACATTGAAACGTACTTTAATATTTATGTTGTTGTTTTGTTTCTTTTTTTTTTTTTTTTTTTTTTTACTCACTGCAGTATGAGGAACAAATCACAAAACACTTACTTTGGAGAAACAGAGACCATAGTGTAGATTTTACAAAATCACTTTTTAAAATCTCTGTATCGTGCTCCTCAAATATCTAGAGCCAGTCTTTGCATAAAATATCACAGCTTTGTCTATTACCTTAAAATTCTGCAGCAGCCTAAAGATATGGATAAGATATACCACCACTTGCTATTCTGAAATATATCTATTACCATATCCAACCTAATGGTAGCATCTAAAAAATTCTTTCTTCCATAGGAAGTCTCTGACAAGCTGTTATTCATTTCCTTGAAGTTAAAAGAATCTGGGGCAACATTTATATTTTATCAGAAAAATAAAAAAATGTTTACCTACCATGTTCAGATTAAGAACAATGTCTATACAAGTCAGTTGTACAATTATTTTAAGAGAAAGGGGAACATGAACATCGGATTAACTTAATCCTGGCAGACAGAGTGAATAACTACGGTCCAGTCAGCCATTAATCTATTACAGAGAGATGACAACTTTACAAAAGGTATCTTTTACCTACTGAGTGATGATTATGTCCCCTCAGTTTCTGTGCTTTCTACCACTGGTTCACTTTCTATATCAGCAACTGTGTCACTCTTCTCCTTGTTTATTTCACTTGAAGATGTCAGTTTCTCATAAAGTTCAGGGTCATTCTGTACTGGTAAGGGCGGTGGTTGAGCATGTCTCTCAGTATTTTCACCATTAACCTGAGGCACACTGTCACCTTTTCGTTGAGAAGTGGCCCCTTCAAAGAAATCAAAAACCCGAGCATGAGGAGGGGGGACCCAGGTGTTTTGAATTCTCTCTCGTCCAAGACGATTTCCATTAATTTCTCTGCAGAAATCAAAATCTCTGTCATCCCTATCCCTCTGCCTCTCCCAGGGTCTTCTGCGGTCATCAAAATCTCTGTGAACTTCTTGTCCAAATCCTCTGTTCCAAGGACCACTTCTAGGATCAAACCGATAGTTTCCAGACCGAAATCTGCCTCTTTCTTCATGTAGGCCTTTTGGACCAGCGAAGACAGGCAGAACCCGATGCTCTCGCTCATCGAAATCTCTAGGCCCCCAAGGCTTCTCTGGATTAAAGCCAAAGTGGTCTCTGCGACCAAGATGATCTATACCTGGCCTCACAAGATTCTCTCTGATATCTACAGGCGGTCTTCCAAAATGATCCCTACCATCTAACGGAGGCCTCCCAGGACCTTCCCTTGGGTCTACGGGCCGTCCGACCATGTCCCTAACGTCCACCGGGGGAGGCCTGCTCATGCTCTCCCTGGTTTCTATGGGAGGAAACCGGTAATCTCTGTCTCCTTCCTGTTGAATGTTCTCGTTCCCAAGTGGTATCCTTTTTTCGGGATTAGTGATATTGTCTATACTTTGCCTTCCAGGAACTAGAAAAGGTCTTTCTGGCTGACTAAAAATATCTCCTGGAGGAAAAGGACCGCGGGGTGGTGGATGAAGAGCTGCGTCAAGCACCGACGGGGGAGGGATCCCTCGCTGGGGCGGAAGTCCGGGCTGCAACAGGGGAAATCGTGGCCCCGGTGCCTGTGGTATTAGTCCTGGACGAAGGTCTAACACTGGCACAACGGGCAGCCTTTGACCAGAGAGACCGAGAGGGGGTAAGTTCTGAGGCCCGGCTGGCGGCTGGGCTGCCAAAAGTCCAGATGCATTCGGAACGTTTGGTGGCTGTACTCCTATAAGTCCAGGACTGCTGGGGACGTTTGGGGGCAGCACTCCCAAGAGTCCAGAACTACTCGAAACACCTGGTGGCTGTATTCCCAAAATTGCAGAGTTATTGAGAATATTTGGTGGCTGGGCTCCAATAATTCCAGAACTACCGGAAACATTAGAAGGCCGGACTCCAAGAATCTCAGAACTGCTCGATACATTTGGTCTTTGAACTCCCAGAATTCCAGAATTGCTCGTCACATTGGGCGGCTGTCCTCCTAAAATTGCAGAGCTACTTGAAATATCGTTTGGAATCACTAAAATGGAAAGAAAAAAAACAACACAAAAAATCATTCTGACATGAAAAGGAAACTACACTTGTAACTACTAATGCTGCAATTTCCCGCAGTTAGCTTAATTAGCTCCTTGTATTCCCCCCAAAACAAGGTATACTCGATAGTAAATAAAAAATAAAGTTAAACTGTCAATACCACGCATAGTAAAATTTAAATATTACAACATATGTGGGACCTAAAATCTTTACCTAAAATCTTCACATGATCTTTTAAAGTAACAAAAATGTCAGGTTTTATACTGATTCTCCATCTTTAACAGTTCTTTCTGAAGCAGAAACAATTCTTAACATACTAACCATTGTGCCAGGAAAGAGAGACTTGCTGGTTTCATACTTATCTTCTAGACCTAGCTGGACGGTACTGGGTAGCAGTTATTTATACCCAGTATTTGTTTTTCATTCTGTAAGTACATATATTTTATGCAATCTTATTTCAGTAACGACACATTAAAGCAGTCCCAAGAGGCCAAAAAAGAGGGGGAGAGGTCTCAGCGGAAAGGTGTCAAAAGTTATATCCTGAACAGAATGCCAAATTTGTTTTCAACAGAAATTCTAAGAGACAGAATCCCTTTCGAAAACCTGCAACATTTCAACATTTCTGCACTGAACAGGTTACAAAGACATGGCAGTTCCAAATTAAACACCACTACAGAGAAGCAGTGCTTATGATTTTACTATGTATTTCTGGGATTTTTTTTTTTTTTTTTTTACCAGATCTGGTGTTTTCGCCAGAAGAAATCTGGTGGTCGATAAGATGAGGTACTTTTTCTTCAGGCTCCGCTTGTTTGGTTGGAGGATTGAAAACATTTCCAGCTGCAAGGCTGCCAGCAACAGAACCCCCTGGTAAAACGAGGCCACCAAATCCAACGTCTTTCACAGTTTCCGGAGTCATGGATAACGGTGGCTGCACTAACGCTGTTTAAAGGGAGAGAAAACACATTTCAGATTTAATTAGCTAATCAATTCATGTGCTACATTAAAATACTAACGATGACCAACAATGGTCTTGCCAAACTGTTAAATGACTTCCCACCCTCTCTCCCTCGCCGTTCGGTAAGATGCTCCACCAACAGTCCTCCCCTAATGCTGTCAGCAGGTTCTGGGACTTTGAGTGACATGTGTAACAAATGTTATCATCGGCTAATTGATATAAACAAGAGTTAAGTTCCTAAGGCATCTTATAAGAATTATAATGAAACAACACTGGATAAAATGACCTTATTCAAGGACCTGCCATGTAGGAATTCCCTTCCGGTCCATTTCATTTACAGTGAATCATAACTTCTGGCAGCCTGAGTGTTTCATTTAATGGTAACTCTGTATTACCTCACACATTATATAATAACTGATGCTCAAAATGACAAATGAGTCGCCATGAAGAGAGTAAATTATATTTAGAAACTTTATTTTTAAAAAAAGGAAAAAAAATAGAAATATCTGCATTAAAATGTTTAGTACAATAACTAGTAAGAAGAAAATCCCAGTAATAGAAAAGTATCATAAATCATAATTTTTCAAGGATTCCAAACAGAAATGATTAGCACAGACTGATGATATGTATGAGAATAAAAATCTGCTTAATTTCCTTGAAATTATAATTGACTATGGTCATTCACTACTTTTTGTCAAGCAAGAGTTTATCAGATGAGAGGATATAAAGTGAACTACAAAAAAAAGATGTAAACATTCCATTTAAAAGAATGTGTAGAAAAACCCAAGTGAATATACCATTTACATGTTAAAAAACAGAACAAGAGGAATACAAAATCACAATTAAACAATTAAAATTTGCAGTCCAGTTCATATCACAACACTGTTAAATCTTTTACTTGGGGATTTTAGGAACTGTGATATTCTCACATTTAGTTCTACACGGACAAACTGTCAGCAAAGATCAGAGCTGTAAAACAAGGATGAAACCACCTGGGATCACGTATGGGAATTATGAGAACTAAATGAGACAGTGAGCAAACAGGAGAGTACTTGAAACACAGTGGTATTTCTCTTTTTCCATTACATTTTTCCCAGATTTTTCAAAACAAATAAAGTAAGAAATTCTTGGGAAGTAGGCTCTAGGATGAGTTTCTGTAAATGGTGAATTCAGAAATGGCTTCTGACAGTTGTGATTTTCAGAAAGAATAAACAATTCTCCCTAATTAACGAACAATAACAAAAATGAATCCTAATGCTGTCTAAACACTAAAGGAAGAGTAAAGAGTTTAAAATTATAAGGAAAACAAAGTATATTGTCAAACTATAATAAGCTCTTTATCATATACACTCTCTATACGATAAAGTTCTTTGGGCCAATATTGGGCAAAAAGAACTAGGAAGCTCTCAAAAACTGATGTAGTCATCTCAAAAAGACAAAGAAGTAACATGAAAGGTCTCTCACTGTCCAAAGATGAGACACACTGAACTTCAAAAAAGAAGTGAACAGAACTGCTTGGAAGTAAAAACTCCATTAATCCATAAACACTAAAGAAAATGAAGGAGAAAAGCAGAAGGAAAGGGAGAGAGAGGTGAGATAAGAGAAATCCTCTGATACCACTGGAAATATCCACAGAACTCGCTGCTCTGAAAAATGGGACTTACAGAAAAGAATTTAGCATCTACCTAGCTCTTCTGTACAACTGTATTTCAAGGTAACTAAATACCATTAGTTAATAAGAGAAAGTTTATCTTTATAGAAAAATTCTAGCTAAGAAATATATAAAGAATTATAAAATTCCAAAGATCATCACTTTGAAATTAATGAAAAGTATGTTCAAGTAATAATAGTCAGTGGATGAAAACATGTGATGCAAATGTGAAAGGAAGCTTTTATTGACCATGTTTCACGACCTAGATGCTCTACTTCATCTTAACATCATTTAAGGTGGGAATAGGCACTGCATGGCTCCTGATGTGAGGTAATATCAAGTCTACAGCACCCCATCTTTAAGCATTCTTGCTAAAAAAGCTGAAGCACAGTTGAAGCAAGGCTTCAGTGTTGAAAACTTCCTATTTACAGGAAATTCAAGGAGATAAGAGAAAAAAATTCAATACCACAAAGAAGCAAAGAACTAAATCCATTATTTGGAATCTTGCATATAGAATTGAACTGCTTCTTCAAGAAGTCAACGACATGAAGAATTTAAAAAGGGAGTTTTGGACAATAGTACTCTAAGATATTTAATACATGCACACACACACAAAAATATGTGGGGACCCTTCTTTGAATTTTAACTAAACCAATTACAAAAAGACATTTTGAGATAGAGCAAATGTGAGTATGGACTCTGATAATACCGTTATATTTTTAGAAATCATTTAACAAAAAAAATGCACGTCTGAAAAACTTTCACAATTAAAAAATTAACAATAATTCATGAGAATGAGAACCGACACGTTAACACGACCATGAATTAAGATGATTCTAGAAGCAGAAAACTCACATGGTACTACTGGTGGAATAGCAGGTGGAGGCACGACAGGTGGTGGAACTGGAGGTGGCATGAAACCTGCGTGGAAGAAAAAGACCCAAAATAAAATAAGAAAAACTACATCTCTTAAATCAAAGACTTCAATAGCTGTAAACGAGATTCTATATCCTTAAAAAAGTCTTTCATGTTATAACCTCTTATCTGTGAATATACCTTCCATTTTAAAATTACTTTTATTTATGCTACCTTATTTTGATTCTTGGTGAAGCGCAGAGTAAGCTAAGTAAAGCACAGAGCCCCTTATCACGAGCACAGCCTACTTACTCATTTGTTTCAGTCCTTGGCATTCTCTCTATGATGCTATAAAATCAAAGATTAACATGAACCAGGCAACATGTTTACATGTTAAGCATGGTGATCACATGGGGGAAATTAAACATTGTATTTCAAGCTGCTGATAACATCTTTGATACATACGCTGTTTATCCACTAGATCAGAATATTTTCATTAACCTTGAACATTATATTTTAAGCACTGAAATAAATCTTCAATTTAATATTGGTTTTTAAGTATCAATCAAACTTTAAACCTGCTCCCTCACTTTTTTAAAATACAGAGCTACAATTAAATTCAATTAGAAACGGTAGCTAATAATAAGGGAAAAATAAAGATATGTGATTTTCAGCAAATTCGTGCTGAACAATGACTTTATAAAGTCTACGTGGTATGGATTTTGAAATAATCATTTAAAAATATCTTCTGAAAAAAATTTAGTTTTCAAATCACAAATGCAGAAAATATTTGACAAGAGTAATTTTTAAATCTTTAAAACATACAAAAAATAAAATTCTTATCAAAACCTGCGTTAATTTCAAATTATGTATTAAACTGTAATTTAAAAATTTTATGTTACATGACAGATAAATTACAACCATTTGCAGGCAATGAATGTACTTTTTAGCCTCGATATTTTTCATGAGCTCTATTCAATGACTAAGAACTTAAGTTTCAGAAACCAAAGTACTTAATTTCTTATAATAGGAAAATAATTCATGAAGTTCAAAGAAAAACAAAAATAGTATTAAAAATCAATATATTTCATTTGATCTCTGTATCTCCCCCTCATTCTTCTAACCTTCCATGGTCTAATACTAAAATCGCTCTCTCTCTAAGCAATTAAAATTGCTAACAATTATTTATATGTAGTTTAAGTAATCTGTAGTTTTTACCTAGAAACAATGATTCAAGGAACTTATGTTTATCAACAATTCATTAGGTCAAAAAAATATTATGAATTCAATTAGCATTTTAAGACATTAATTTCTAATGTTGAAATGGAAACAATGCCTTTTAGGAAGGACAATCTATATAATTTAATGCGTATCTTCCAATGAACGTGAACGAGTGATAACTATAAAGAACTGTGATATAAAAATTTCAACATAAGATTTAAATTATCTTGAGTATGTCAATGATTTTAAAGGATCTCATTTCTCTTCTCTGTCAGTTCTTCTTAAAGCGTGGTCCTCCGACAATCTGCATCAGTAGGAATTTGCTAAAAATGCACCGTGATGTCCCCCTTCAGTCCTATTGAAGCAGAAGGCTGGCCCCGCAATTTGTGCTTTGACACAACTCCATGTGACCCCAATGTATGCTAAGGTTTGAGAATCATTGCTCCACAGCATTTCAATCCAAAACAGAAGAATTTAAATGACTGTCTAAATAGAGTTCCATTAATAAGATGAAAATTCCTTACCAGGCGGTGGTTGTGAAGGGTTGAAACTTGCTCGGAGGAAAGGCGGCGGGATTGGACTGAAGCCAGGAGGAGGGACCGGCATTGACACAGGAAATGCTGGTGGGACTAAGCTAACTGTAGGCACGGCTGGTGCTACTGGAATCTTTTATGGATAGAAAATACAAAGTCCATATAATTTTATCCATCTGCAAAGATTAAATCTTGGAACACTGAAAGGTAAATTATTTCCATTTATTTTTTAGGAAGGTAATAAATACCATTATATATTTTTTCTTTTTTGTATACTTATAAGTAAACTTACTTGGGTAAAAGCAAGGCACTGCTTTCCAAGAGAGAGTCTGTGTGAAGACTGAAATCTACCTCACATTCAAGTGATATAAATAAAGTAATGGACACCTACTTGAATAGTGACTAACAGGCTCAATTTTAAATTACCATTTCCCACTAGGTTTATAATAACCAGCTATATTATGCAACCTAACCACCATGAGGAAGCATGTCAATAACAGCTTTAAAATGACTCGAATTTCTCATAAAGTTATTTTCTACTCCTAACATAAATACCTTTTACTCATCCTAGATACGCTAATTCTCAAATATATATCTGTGCTCTGGCTGTCCCTCTTCTAAATTTCATATTCTATCAATGGTCTACTCGACATCTTAACTTCATTGTCTGAAAAGCACTTCAAATTTCACATGCACAGAACTGAACTCTCAATTGTCCTTCCCAAATGACTCTTCCTACAGTTTTCTTTCCCATTCTCAGATAATGGTAACTACATCTTTCCAATTTCTCAGATCAAAAACCTTGCCTCTGCTCTTTCTCACAACTCAAATCTAGTCATGCCATCAAGTCCCAGTGATCACGCCATCAAAATACGCCTAATATCTGACCACTTCTCATTTCCTCTACGGCTATCAGTCTAACTGAACCATCATTATTTCTTATCTAGATTGCTCCGTCTTTTCATTGGTCTCTCTGTTTTTATCAAGCCCATAGTGTATTCTCAAAACAGTAGCCATGCAATCCTTTAAAACCTTAAGCCAGATCAAGTCACTTTTTTCTTCAAAATCTTCCAAAGGCCCCTGCATCTCAGTGAAAACCAAAGTCCTTCAAGAGGTCTCCTTGCCACTAAGCTGCCTCTTACTCACTTTACTCCAGCCCACTTACTATATCCCTGGAGCATGCCAAGCATGCTCCTGGCCTAGGGCCTTTGCACTGTTGTTCCCTTGCCTGGAATGCTCTTCTGATAGCCAAATGGATAATTCTCTCAGCAGCTTTAAGTTGTTGCTTAAATGTCTCATTCTCAGTGAAGTTTACCCTGACCATTCTACTTAAGATTGTAAGCACCTACCCAGGCTGATCATCCTTATCCTACCGTTTCCTTCCACTGTATCTCATAAACTTGTTTTATATTTTCTGTCTCCCCTTTTGAGAATAAAAGGTCCATCAGGGCAGGAATTTGTGTTTGTTTTTTTTCCACTGATGTATCCCAATCTCAGTTGCCTAGAACAGTGAATGTCACAGAGCAGGCAATCAATAATTATTTGTTCAATGAATAAACATTTAAATATGAATTAGACCATTCTAAAAATTTTTTTTTTCAAAAAATGTTTGACAAAACTCTTATTTATTCTATTTTGGACAATTTCTTCCAAGTTTTATAAAGTAAATGCATGAGTAAGAACAGAAATGTAAAACAACACATTCAACAACAAAAACACCAAGTACTAACCTGTAACATAGCAACGGGTGGAGGAAAAGCTTCTGCCTGGGTTGTGACCACTGTCTCCTTGTCAACGGGAGCTGGGCTCTGAGTTGTCGGGGCCGTCTCTTTGACAGGCTCTGAGCTTTTCACAGTTTCCCACTCTAAACAAAATATTCGAAATTGATGTCCTCTAGACAGGTGCAACTTTTCATTTTATTTCTAGGTACACATTTATTTCATGCCTAAGTCCTTCATCTACCCTGGCACACCTATCTTTAAGATATGTCTACGACTATTGGTGCCGACCTAGGCTTTGCCCAGATAAATCTTTGCCCAGATAACAGAAGGGCTATAATAGATACATATTGCAAAGGCTGTCTGACTTAAGAGGAACTAATCTCATTCCATATTTTGTCGCAAGGTACATGGGAGACCAACAAGTATTAACCTAGCATAGAAAAACCTTTCTGAAAATACGGCTATACAAAAAAAGAACAAAGAAGCACTAATGGTTCCTGCAATAGTTCTCCATCGCCCTCAGAGTAAAGATCGAAGTCATCAGAATGGTTAACAAGACTACACTTCATCTTGTCCTACTCACTCCTCACTAACTTTTCTCAAGCCATGCTGGTCTCAGGATTCTGAAGAGGATATGCACTTACTGGTCCCTCTGCATGAAATGCTCTTTGCCTATAGAGCTGCACATCCCACCCTTTCGAATAGCACCCTCTCCATGAGAGAGCTGCTTCAACCACTCAGAAGTGCAGCAGCTCCACACTCACACTGCCTAACCTCCCCCCGATTTTTCTTCTTAAAACTTATCAACATAGAAATACTGTATAGTTTGCCCTTTTTGTCCATGATCTATTTCTTTCCACTAGAACATGGGTTAGCACACTTCTCCTATACTAAGTATTTTAGACTTTGTGGGCCGTATGTCCTCTGGTTCAACTACTCAACTATTGTTGAGGGAAAGAAAAGTCATAAAATAAGCTAACACAAGTGAGCCAGGCAGTGCATTATTTACAAAATAGGCTGCTGGCAAGATGTGGCCCAAGGGTTATATGCTGTCACCCCCTACTACAATGTATACTACATGAGAGGAGGAATTTTTGTCTGCTTGTCTTACTGCAGTAATCCTACTTCCTAAAATCCCAGTTCCTGGCACACAGCAGAAACTGAAATATTTATTAAATGAATAAATGTTCTGGAGGAACATCCAAAAAATAAAAAGAAAAACTGACAAGAAGAAAATAACTGAAAAAATGTTTGAAAATACGCATTGGCCTGAGAACAAAAATATTCTAAAAATTAGCAAATTATACTAAAAAGAGCTAAGATGTGAAGAAATAACAAATATATAATATTTTAATTCTTTTAAGATTTCTTACTGGTTAAACTGCTAATCATTTTATAACTGAAATTTTTAAAAATAAAAAAAAGACAAGTTTTTAAAAAGACCCATCCAGATGATCATTTGGTTGGTTATAAGCAAGCATTTTCAAACTGCATGAATGTGAACCACACCTCTCTAAAGATTCTATTTCTGCCATTCTCAACATGAGTACCAGTGAAAATAATATAGGAAGTTTTTCAAAGAAGCTTCTGAAGTACCCAGTTCTCACTTAAACTTGAGAAATTGAAATATTTAGTTTTAAAAAGCCTCCATACATAAACACAACTCTCTCACTTAAAGAGCAAAACTTTTTTAAAGACATACACGAAAAACACAGCATCTGCAGACTTCTAAGACACCACCTACACTGACACTTATGAAATAGGACCCGTCAAGTATATTTATCGAATGCATTAGTATGTCATATATTTTCTCTTTTTTTTTTGGGGGGGGGGGGGCCCAGGAAATAAACACAATTTATCCTGTTATGAAAAACTCTTATTAATCACAACCTTTTAAGTGTACTTAACAATAAAACTGCCCTTAGGGTTCTTACCAGTATTTACAGTTTCCTGATCGATCATGCCTCCTTCTGCAAAACCTTCCAAGTCATCCACTTTAACTTTTTCCCATGGTATATATGTAACTCCAAGATCCACATCCCAGAATTGCTTGTATTCTGTTTTTACACCTTTGTTTAAAGCCCAAGCAATCTATCAGGAGTGAAGACAGAAAAAAAGGAAGCTCACATATACTGTAAAAACAAGGTAAAATATTTGAAAACATGTAAACAATGTAAATACAAATAAAATTAGTTTTAAAAATCAGGTGGATGGGCAGAGCATCACTGCTGGAGAATAACAGTAGCCAAGAAAATTTTTTCCATGTAGTTTCTGTTCTTGTTTGTTTATAAAATAAACCTGCATTAACAGCAACAGTGTTTTAAGAGATTTATTTCTGCTTTTTACTGTAACTTTAAAAAAGACATTTCCAGAAACAATATCCAAATCTACTATTAAAATGTCAAGCTAGATTTGCAATAATGAGATTAGTTATTACAATTTAAATAAAATCTTGGTACTCTGGAAAAAAGATCAGTGACACTTTACACAGAGAAACTCTCCGCCATGAAATGCCATGGCATGGGCATTTTAATTCTCTCAAAAGCAGTTATTTTAAGGTTTTTAATTCAGTTGTGGAAACTGATGGAATAAATTATCTCCAAATAGCAGAAAAGAAATGTAAATTAGCAACAAGAAGTAAAAATGGAAAAATACACAATAAATACTCAGTTTAAAGACTAAGAGGAAAATAAAAACATAAATAAACCCTTCACAAGGGCCTGGGTTGTACAAGATGAGATGTTAAAAAGGAAAAATAATATAATGAAGGGGTATGATTAGGAAGCACGGGGAAGAAGTGAATGAAAAACAAACCTGTAAAAATGAAAAAGGCATGTTCATAAAATGGTGACCTGGCTAAGAGAACAGTATACATGTGTGACTGAAGTTTTAGTTACTGTTCTACCTATATCTAATTCTGTAACTCGACAATACTAAAATAACATATTTCCATTGAGGTTTGCCCATAACATTAAGAAAGGTGAATTAAATAAAAGAACATTCTAACAATCCAATAAAATAAGATCATGTGTCCCCTTCTCCCAATCTCACCTTAATGACCTTGGACCCGATTTTATACGATCCAGAACTAAGTTTCTGCAGAGCCCGAAACGCATCCTGTCGATGAACCATGCAGACATAAGCACAGCCCCTGGGAGGAATCATCTATTAAAAAAAATGTTTTCTTTAGAAGAGGTATAAAGAGGGTAATTCAGTCTGGCATCTCAGGGTTTTAATGAAATAGAACACTGACTATTGACTAATACTAATTTTTTTTCCCCTTTTCTTCCTCCAGCTATCTGTTTATTGGTTCAACTCACATACAACTAATTACTTAGTCTTTAAAAGACCCAAAATTCAAAACCTAGTTGGGTCTCACTCTAAGTATGATATATGTTAAATCTTGAATATCACATGTCAATTAAGATTTTTCTAATACACAATAAAGAACTATAATAAAAAGTACAAAAGCATGCATATGATACCACCATACAAAAGGAAAATTATATTATGTGGCCAACATATCTGAAGGCATATGATTTGTTCACAGTATTATTTCAATTTTTCCAAGTATATTGAGTAATATGAAGATTTCTGTTTTGGGGAAGTATTTTACTCTAAATATAAAATCTATAATCTACAACAAATGATAAAACTAAAGCCCTTAATTTTAAAAAATTTAAATTTTGTCCAAGTACTTCTGGACATAGGTTTTAAAATAAATAGAAAAATAGCCTCAGTGTAAGGATCTGAGTTTTATTTATGAAGCATTTAACTATTCTATATACTACTAGATCATAAAATTATCCTTGTGTATTAATTCAGAAAAATACACAGAGCATTTGTTTCTTTTGAAGAATTCAAAAAGGTATTCTCTTACTTCATTATTATTCAATACCTAATAAACTCTATTTGTCAAAATAAAAATAAAAACCTTTCCTCAGTTTTGCTAACACTTCAAGCTAATGTCACTTTAATACCAAACCTTTCAAAAGAGAAGTTTATCTAACTCCTTACATACTTCTTTCATTCTTACGATGTAGATCCAACTCCTTACCAACTAACCGAAAATATTTTCTTCGGACTCACTAATGACCTACTAAAGGCCAAATCTGACTGACTTTTTTCGGTCCTCAAACTCCTCTACAACCAAGGAGAAGGTTTCTAAATTTTACGCCAATTTTTTAAATCTTGAATTTCATCACTAGCCATTCAGTAAACTTCAGTTCACATAGAACTTAGTGCCGATGATTTGTTGAGTACTATGATTTTAAAAAGTAATACAAAGAGGAGGGAGACAAAGCAAACCAACACCCAAATTAGTGCGGTATAAGAAAGACTATAAACGTCACAAGCAACACGAAAATCCAAAATGCTACTTGGATTCAGGATCTGCTCAGAGCAGTGCCTCCTGACTTTGCATCAGAATCACCTGTGTAACTGTACCACTCTGATAAGATTCTAAAAATACTGATCATGGGCATGGGCATCCCCCCGCCCCCATTTTTTCAAATGTCAACACATTTCTGATATGCAGCTAGGGCTGAGAACCACTAATTTAAGGGTAGGTGAAGATCTGAAAAAACTTCAGATGTTATATGATCATGGATTCTGAACATTTATGTTTTGACAGGTGCAATTTAGATAAAAAAGAGACACTTACAGCACTCTCACAGTATAGAAAGAGTAATTTGAAAGAGTTAAAATACTTGACCAATCACCTATTTATTATCTGTGTAACTCAGGCAAATCACTTAGTTTCCTCACTGGTGAAATAATAATATCTGAATTACTTAACCAGCTTCTTGTGAGGGTCCCATCAGACATACATAGTTGAAAGTAAAATACAAAAAGATCAAACTCAACTCTGATGAAAAATGCTGTTATTAACACAGAAAAGTCAAGTTTGGCCCAACAAGAATGTCAGGATCTAACACTAGAAAAGAAAGCCAGCCAATTTCCCATTAAATAATGATAAAAAAAAAAAAAAGGTCTAATAGACATGAAAGTATAAGCAAATAAAATCAGAGGATTAATGAATTATAAGTCTCCTCAAACAAATACGCATAAAACGTTCTGCTAGTTTCAGCCCCGGGGAAAAACAAAAGCCATTTGAGGAGAAGAAAACACTGGAAGGAGATTGGGTGGGGTGGACCCACTGAAGAACCATGCTGCGTGAGCATTAAGCTTGGGCTCCTGGAGAGGCCCTGCCTGCACGTTCTCCCTAAGGCTGGCTTTGAGATGGAGAGACAGGCAGAGGGGGAAGAGGTGGCGGGGAGAGGCTGGCAGAAGACTGGGCCCCCAAGTCCAGCTTGTGTCTCTACACGACCCACATGGACATGTGCAGGGGATTACAATTCTGTGAGACTCGATTTTCTCATTTTTTTTTTTTAAAAAGGAATTAAACTAAATCACGCAAGTTTCCTGCTAACTTAAACATTCGATGTTTTAGGAATCAAGTGCTACGCTGTGATAAAACCCTAAGAATTTCTGTTAGAATTCCATTTAGGAAATTAATTAAATGAACTGATAAACAGCAGCAGAATAAACACAGAAAAGATGAAGGTCAAACAATCCTTGTACAGATGTGCATGCAATATGACAGGCAGATACTACTGGGCTAAATAAGGAGCAAAGTGACTCTGTTTGAGTGAAAACCGCTTATTCTTTTACCTTCAACTATTGTTTAACAACTAATACTTACATTAATGGATTCAATTTGTCCAAACTCTTCAAACAGGTTGGTTAAATCCTGCTGTGTCGCCTTCTTGTCCACCTGACCAACCCAGAGAGTAGTACTACATACTGTCAAGACATAAGGGACAAATGGCCACAATCATAAACACAGTTAAATCTTTCAAGTGGGTGAGGAAAAAGCACTAATACAATAATACAGTTTAAGACAGTATATTTAAAATACGTTAATTGACATTTGCATGTTACATCTAAAAATTAACTAAAACCTCAGGTATTCATTCACATCTATGCCAAGTCAACCTCTTGCACGTCACCTGTTCTCAAGCTTGGCAACACACCTGAATCACCTATGGGTACCTAGGTCCCACTGTGAAAGGTGAATGGTATGGGGTGTGACAGAGGGAGCTGAGAGGTTTAAAGTTTCACACGTAATACTAATGTACAGCAAAGTTTCAAAACCACTTTTCCCTGCAATCCTATCTGCATACTTTTAAAGTATTTTTCTGTGCTGAAAAAATTAAGCGGATGTTTCTCTTTAATTAAGAGTTAAAGATGAAAACAGTATTATGCATAAGGAAATAATCTGCATGAAGATACAAAGAGGAAAAGGCTGAATTAGAACTCCTTAACTGGTTATCATGAAAGACTTAGAAGCCACTTCCCTTCAGTATACATTCACCTACTTTTAGCTATAGTGCTCATGCCTCCATGAACAATTTCCTTTTCCTCAAGACATCACTCTAAAAACATTTATAGCTCATGTATTTGCAGAGTTTTAATACACAGTCCTCCATTAACTCAAGTTTGAACTGCATAGGTCCACTTATATGCAGATTTTTTTCAATAGACATAATCGGCTCTCTGTATCCTGGGTTTCACATCTGCAGATTCAACCAACCGCACGTGGAAAATAGTATTTTCAACCCAGCATTGGGAATCCAAGGACGTGGAGGGCTAACAGCATGCACTGTTCTAAGCCACTAAGAGACTTGAGCGTCTGTGGATTTTGGTATCCGCAGGGCATCACAGAACCAATCTCCCACAGATAACTGAAGGATGACTAAGTTTTTGGCGAGTCAAATGTTACATGCAGATTTCTGACTGCACAGGGGATCAGCACTCCTAACACCCACATTATTCAAGGGTCAACTGTATTTGGATTTATATCATTGTCAATTTCAAAGAATAAGTTTCCAGCTTCTTTATTATCTTTTTTCTATGATAGGGCAGGCCTAGAGCAGGTTTTACTCTACAGCTAATTTAGATCCACATTAGGATGTGACTGTACTAAGATCTCCACTAAATACGGGTTTTCACCCAAGTCTCTCCTCTGGCTAGCCAGGACGCAAACATCTTCCACATCTGCAGGAGCTTTAGGATGGTCATCATTCTTTCCCTGCTATTTATTCTTTGTCTCCTGTAGTCTAGCCCTATGCATACGTGTATTAACATTCCGCCAAAGTCTCAAGGGACAAGGTATTAGTTTTCTTTTGCTGCTGTAATAAAATAACATAAACTTAATGGCTTACAACAAAAATGTATCATCTTACAGTTCTGGAAGTCCTAAATGGGTCAACGAGGCTGCATTCCTTCTGGAGGCTCTAGGGGAAAACTTCTTTCCTTGTCCTTGTTGGCTTCTTCAAGCTGTCTGCAGTCCTTGGCTTATCATCCGCCCCCCCATCTTCAAAGCCAACAGTACAGCACCTACCACCGTGTCAGCCTCCTCCCATCCCCACATCACCTTTTCTCTCTAGCCTTGTTTCTCTCTTGTAAGGACCCTGGGTGACACAGCACTTCTGGGTTATCCAAGTTAATTTCCCCACCTCAAGATTATTACTCAGACCTGCAAAGTCCCTTTTACCATGTAATGTAACATACTCCAGTGACCTGGATGTGGACACCTTTGGGGGACCATTCATCAACCTACCACAAACCCTTAGCACATTTCTGAACCCCTCTCAAGGAACAGTTCTCACCTCTTCTTACTGTGTCTACATATCACAGCTGCCTTAACCTCCCCAAAAACTGCTCCATGTTTCTCCTACTCTTTCAGTGTTGTCGCACTATAAATTATTCCCACGGATAACTCCATTTTCCCCCAGAAAGCAATAACGAGTCAGTCTCCCCCATCTCAGGAGGGGACACACTTGATTTTGAGAAAGCCAACGTCTGTTAATGCTTCACACCCCCTGGACTAGTCATAAAAACTCTTGTGTTCTAAGGACCAATGGTAAGGAAACACTACTGAAGGTGTTTAAAATGTGTTGGGACTACATAAAATTAATATTGCTTCTGACTAAGGAGAGTTTTTAGGTAAAAAATGAGAGACATACTTTCTACTTTCTTATGTACTTTGATTTTTTTTATCCATAAAAATAAAACAGCAATAGAAAATAAATTCCCTGGTGAATAACTATGTAAATGGTGGCAGCAACGACATGACATTAGGTGAGGAACCAAATGAAAGAGACTGTATGTAAAAGCCCTACCCTAAAATCGGTGACTCTGAAGGGCCTAATGGCAACCACGGGAGGAGGCACAGGAGAGGTTTTACCGGCAGACCTCTCTAGGTGAGACGCAGAGACCTTTGGAGTTAGGATCAGCAACGTTATTAGATTAACACTGGCTCTCACAATCAAGTATGATTCTGGCAAGATCAGCCACATTAGGCTTATTCAAAGCACTAGAAGTTAAGTAAGCAGATGGCTGTTGCCTTTAATTATCAGCCTGGATTTCCAAGATGCTTCAGCCGGACCGTAAGTTATACAATTATTTCTCTATTTCCATGACAGAAAGAATTTATTGGTAGACTTCTGGAAATCAGATAACCCGGGCAATGTTCAACTCTTGGCAAAGAATGGCAATCTGCTCCATTTTATGTACTTTGCCCTGTGCAGCCTGTTGGTTCACCTTAGAAGTCATCACCCACTAAGAATCCTTTAGGCCGAATTTGGCACTAATTACAAACTATTTTTCAGCACCTCACATACCTACCAAGTAAACTCTCCCCTAAAACAAACTGCCACCACTCCACATTCGTCCTCACCACCCATTACAGATTAA